TTCGCAACATAATACAGTCCACTTCATCATACAAATACAAATCATTACTGCTCTCACGGCAGGTATCTTGAAAATAACGTATGCAAACCGCATATATATATATGTTTCATAGACCAGTAAAGCTCCAGTCTAGTCTCGACAATCGAACTTATAATATTCAAGTTTATTTTAAGTTATAACTCGATGCCTTTTTCTTTAGAATGCACCTTATTGCAAATCACTCTTAATCAAAAACGTCGAATACTGAGTTTTGCGTGAAAACCTCAGCATTCAAAAATCCTTCGTGAATTTCAATTGTTCGTATTGTCGAGTTTAAACTGTTAACAAACGAACCAACGGAAAGTAGGAGAAAGTAATCTTATAGGGAATGGTGCATGATACAATCATCATGGGCGATTGGCTGAATAAAAGGTTTAGCAAAAGATGGTAGTCGACCAACTTCATTGAAAACGATTAGTCTGAAAATGATAAGAGTTGGCACGCACATAAAAGTCAACTCCTACCGCAACCATAGCGCGCATTTATTTAACATAATCCACTACTAATCCCGCAAGAAAAATATTCGGTCTATTGCATACTGTATCCATATACACAAATATTATGTAATCTCAGTGTTAATTAAAAAAATGGCGCATGCCTTCAGTATGTGTTCCTTACAAAATCATAGAATCGTAAGATTCCGCCACAGAAAAGTAAAATGCAAAATCCCAGCCAAAAGACGATAAGTCGATCACGCGTTAAGCAAGTCGAAGGGGTAAAATTTCCCAACCCGATAGCTGTCTAGTCTCTTGAAACAATTTGTATGCTTTAGTTTCCGAACGCTCTTTCCAAACAGTTTGACTATTGTGATGACTCAATAATCAATAGAGACCAAGCAATATGTAGTATCGAATTTTGACTGTGAATGCAAGCATCGAGCATGTGTTTTAATAGGCGTGTTTGGCTCGCTTACACACAAGTCCTCGCAATGAACCATATCGACGGTAGTAGAACGAAATTTATAATACTGTCCACCCTTGAACGTGGCCTGGTATCATACAAAATTTGTCAGTCAAATTTCGCATGATAAGAAGTTTATAGTAATTTGAAATTTCATTCAATCGCATACGCAGCTATTTAATGAATATATAGACAACTTGCCAAACGATTATGAAAAAAAAGGGTAATGTATGATTTCAACGTCCCTAGTAGGAGATTATGACTCTTTTGCCCACGCAAGAACGACACTGACCAAAAGGCGTTTTGACTCAAGTCATATTTCTTTTAAACGAGTTATACCGGCGTCTTGATAGTGCACTTGATGAAAGTGCATTCTAAGTATTTCAAATTTATTATACTGACAATTCAGGTTTCAGATGGGTTGTATAGAGAACAACAGGCGATTTTGTTTTTCGCGTTAAATAGGACGTGCGTTTATACGCATTTTTTAACCGACCTAAGGCAAATGCCAGTCAATACGCTTCTGAATGTCAAGACGTATTTATGCACCCGGTTTGAAGCCCTGAGGACGGAGTCAAAGCGCTTTCCCTCTCAGTGTCGATAAGGTTGCACCCGCTATTTAAAAATATCAACTGGCTCTTCTATATAAGCGTATGAGCCCCTATTCTAACAGGCAGTCAAGAAAGCGGCCTTCAGATCGGGTCCTGTTGAAAGGTCATAACAGAAATCCCCCGTAAAAAAAAAAAACCAAAAGGAATATAACGTCATACCTAAACGATAGGAAGTCAAAGAGTAGAGGCGCACTGGCAACAAACATAGTACCGCAGAGAAGGAAAGCGTTCGTGTCACCCTTTATACCCTTTAATTCATTCCTTCTGGGAGAATCCTATAATCTGCATCATTTGCACAGTATGTTCGACCATTAGCATTAAACGCAATTTTCCAATGCCAATAGGCTTATAATGAAATGTTACCTTAAACTCGGTGGGATTTTTGGTAACTTGTACCATATTTTTTAAAACGTGTATTAAAAAAATATATATATATAAAAATAAGTCAATCTTCAAGATTGGCATTATTTTGTGATTGCGATTAATCTGGATAAGGCTTGCCATCTCTAGAGGAACATCTGCTTTCGATAGTGATATATTGTCGGTAAGCAAATTGACGTGCACCTGTGACATAATATGTGTAACTGGCCTCGTTGCATGCACATAGTCACTACGCTGTTTTGTGTTTTCATTATCGCCTTTCACATCGTAATCCTCATGCGATAGATAACCAATTTGATAGATCATTTTTGCTAATATTATAATTGATACAACGAACGAGATTATTCGGCTGATAAAGATTTGTATAGAGGTTCTTGTTATGCAACCCAGTATGCAGGGCGCTACGAATATGACGTGAATAACACACACCTCGTTAACGTCGCAAACAAATGCTGTTATATATATAGCCTTAATGATGTGTAATTCCAAGAAGCCCCAAAACAATTTCTTCGGAACAATGAAGTAATGCCTTGTTATATTACGTAAACGTTTTAGTGATGAAAACCAACAAATCCGGCGCATGCCATTCAATGGCGGCTATAGGATGTAGGTTTTGCAAATTAATGAATCCGATGTGTCGCAACAATTGTTGCGCAAATGAACACATAGCGAAGATCGATTCGATCTTCATAGCAATTATTGTCACTTGCAGTACTATATGACATAATAGTAGTAGTGCTCATAGTGCGATGAGTATGATGAAAAATGGTCCGACGGAACTTTTAAAATTTCGACTGTTGGCGATGGGGATAAAGGGCGTTATAAAAAAAAAAAAAAACATTAACAGGTACACGAACGAGATACCGGCAGGGCGGAATAGTGCGGCCAGCACCAGTACCGTCGACACCACCACATATTGCACCGCAAGACAGCCATAGCTGATTGCCATTTTGTGGAAGAATTAAGTTTGTACTTACTACTTTGTTTTGTTGTTTTTGCGGCATCCCCAGCCGAAATTGGTCACATTGGGGCCCACTTATCTGCTATTGCGCCCGTTGGTTGATTGTTGATAAATACTTTTAATTGGCGTTCACTTTGGATAAATATTAAACATTATGTAGATTTTGTCACTTCAACTTTACAACTTACGTAATCTTTTGTTGTAGCTATTGAAACCGATCACATAGCCGGCTTTCTAGACATTTTAATTAATGCTTAATGAAAATAAATTAATTTACACCGGCTCGAATATTGCATTTGCTTTTTTTTTTGGTTGTAAAAAACAAAAAATACCAAATTAAAATACTATGAGCCAAAATACGCAACTCACCGCATTGTACCCACTCGTGTCATTGCGGAAATTCTCTATGGGCTGCAATTGACATCAATAGTTGCTTCACGATATTCACGATTTGCAGGAACAGCTGTTTTCTCCATTAACAAACCTTATGGGAGGTGGTCACCTGGAACGACTTCCTGTAAAAACCTGCAAATCGTGAAGCATCTGGAACGCAACTAATGAAAGTGTCAATTTAAAAACTAGTGATGTGCAGAATTGCCCCAATACTCGGTACCTAAAGTCTCGGTGTTGGTAACCGGTACCGACTCAATGCACTACACCTTGGCAATATAAGCACACATCAATCACTTGTTGCACAATTTCGGGCCCATCAATTTTTGAAAGGAATAATAAGGGTTCACAAAAAAACGAACCGTCGATAACTTCACAAGTTCGACACCTAATGACTCTCATTTATTTAATTTTTTTTTCTCCACTCCCTAAAGGCGCTGTGGACTCAGTATTCACAAAGAGTCCCGCACATAGCTCCTTAACAAAAAAATAAATAAAAATATATATGTATATTGACTTATTTATTTCAATACAGTATGTATAATATTCATAGTCCGACGCCGTGTCAAAAGTATTGGATATTTTAAATCGGTACCGAGTAGGTATGAATACTCATATGTGTTGACTCAGCACATCTCTAATATAAGAACGCAAATTTCAATTTACGCTCTTGGTTGACAGCGCAGCCAGGGTTAGGTGTCCCTACGATCGGTAAACTGAAAATCTACTACGCAACTCGATACCGGCGAACTACTTAGATTTGCTCGGGACAAAGCAAAGCGTGTTAAATATGCATTTCCTTTTAATACAACCATGAGTTAATCAATTTTGAAGGGCCCTCCAACTTAGTAATATTCAAATAAAGCATTAAGTTATGATACTCCCAAGCACTTATATAAGCACCAGTGTACGAAAATAAACTATATTGTGCGTTACTATTTCGTTTCGTTTATTACTTCAAGAGTTCGGTACAATACGAAAACAAAACGGCTGAGTTTACTTTGCGATAGTACATTACAGTAGGTTAGAAGTTACAGACGAAACAACAAACGAAATGAATCGTGCAGAGAAAAATATATGTATGTATGTAGTACATGTGTTTTAATTAAATTGGATATGAAAATTTACAGATAAAATATTTTTCACGTAATTGAAACGTTTGCATACATATAAAACGTACCCTATGGTACAATTGTCACAAACGGAAAGCAAACGTTTCTCGTTGGGGAAAATGACAGTGAATCTTACAATTTGTTTCTGACTATGTACAAAACTGTATAAAACCACAAATGATGATTGATGAGCAAATGGGAATTGTTTTGTACAGTTTATTTTCGTACCCTGATAAGCACTTGCGATTTAGCGAAGTTCCGCACCATGCGAGCAAATAATGAGCCTACTTTTGTTTTGGGTGACAGCTCACCGATGCGAGCACAGAAATCAAAGTCGATAACAGTGTGTCGATGCATAAACATGAGGTGCCCCACACACTTTATGCAAAACTCATGCAAGAATATGCACACTATACACTATCACAAGACAGTGATATATGAGACCGTACCATAAAATAACTGAACATATTAATCACGAAATTTACAATAACCACATATAATTAAGTTTCTTTGCTACTCGCCACCCAACCATAATATACATATATATACAAGTACGTATATCTATATAGCCAAATATACACAAAAGGGAAAAAATAATGATTTCAGACATCAACGATGCATCGCTTCCCCTCGATGAGAAAGAAGGCCGAGCAACAATCAAACCGCTTTGCTCTAGCGTGCCGTTTATGCCAAGGTATGCATCCGATACGGCTCTGTCCATCAATCCGCGGTAAAACTCCCGAAGAGAGACTGAGGGAGGCACTGATTGGTCGCTTCTGCGGAAACTGACTGTCCATGAAGCATTGGTCTGACGAGTGCACGAGTGAAGAAAGATGTCGTCGATGCCGCGAAAAACACCATACAACGCTGCACAGCCGATTGATACACGACCATGGAGCGAGCAAGTTGCTAGTGAGGACGAGTCCGAGCCTCCTCAGCTGGTCGACACGAGACCATGGAGCCAGCAAGTTGCTAGTGACGACGAGTCCGAACGCGCGTTATCTATAAACGCGTCCGACTACGCAAATGAAACCACGCCGCTCCGCCCAGAAGATGAACCAGCAGAATCCACACCGGAATCTTGGACTCCCCGCCCGACTATAACCAGGGGATCGGAAACTCGGCCTTTCCGACCCCTGTTAGCACACGAACGACGCCGGGAACGTGGATCGGAAACACGGCCTTTCCGACCGCGGTCAACAGCCCGGCAGAACCGTAGAGCGGAAACTAGGCCTTTCCGCCTGCGGCAAAGACGAGAGGAGTCAAACAGGCCCAATCGCGATCAGGGTAGACTGGAGACGAGGCCTCGCCAGCTACCCATCGCATTTCGAGCGGGTCGACTCGCACGCGAAACCCAAGCGTTACGACCGGTCACGTCTATTGATCCTACGGTCGTGGTAAAAATAGAAGCTCGTGGACGGCTGCACCTTATACGCGCGTTAATCGACGTATGCTCTCCGACTTCGATAATTTCAACAGATTTAGCGGTAGAACTCAGGCTTGACGTTTCAAATTTCGGAACCCAACGTGGCTGTCTACTGCGTCTGAGGGGAAAACACGGCCAGAACACCAGGTTGGCTATCCACGCCACAATGATAAAAAATTACGTTCGTGTTAGCCCCACTAGTAGCGTCGATCCATCAGTAGCGACAGCGTATACGCACATACGATTAGCGGATCCAAACTTTTATACGTCTACACCGATTCGCTTAGTATTGGGAGCCGGCGTATACCCAGACATCGTACTGCCGGGTATGCTCCCAAACACGTTTAGTCCCTTTATCGCGCAAAGCACCATTTTTGGATGGATGCTCTCAGGAGTATGTCGCTCTTAAATTCCATTT